GCTGCTGCCTCTCAACAAGCAGGTCCCTGGTTCAAATTCCGGTCTGGGGGCCTTTCTGGGTGGAGTTTGCATGTTCTCTCCGTGCATGTGTGGGTTTTCTCCGGTTGCTCCAGTTTCCTCCCACAGACCAAAAACATGCATGTTAGACTGATTGGTAATTCTAAATTGTCCCTAGGTGTGCATGAGAGAGTGAATGATTGTTTGTCTCTGTGAGGGACCAGACTTAAATAAGGACAAAGGTGTTTAAAAAATCAGCAAAAATCTTAATTTACTAATTACTTTAATAGTTTTAAAAAATAGTTAAAGATTCAAATTTCAATGAAAAATAAATCAAAAGATAAATAACAAATTTGGGCCCAACTTAAATGAGGTCAACTGAACACTAACCAAACTGATCTGTTAAACAAAGAACAAAGGGCTGATTAAATAGGGGCGGAGTAATCCAAATCTGCCACATGAGGGAGGCACAACAACATAATAAAGGGACAAATAATACAAAATTGGCTAAAACAGCATCTGAAACAAATAAAGCAAAACTAACTTTAACTTAGCACAAATAAGTGAATACTAAAGTGACAAATTAACCAACTAAAGCCAATATCCTGATGCATGCTCAATAATCCTAAACTAAACAAACTAAACTAAACAACTAAAGCCAAATTTAACAAATAGAAGTTCCCCCTTCTCTCAGTCTTTTAGAAAAAGTGGTATGTTCCAGACTTCCTCCTCCAGCTGACCTGTATTTGCAGCACCTCAAAACAAAAGAACAAGTATTAGTAAACCATTCAGACAAATATTAACTAAAATGTGCACCCATCAGAAAATTTATGTCTAAAATACCTTAAACTTATACATAATGTAATCTGTAACTAATAATGTAAATTAAATAAATACTAACACGATGTGGTCGTGGTAGAAGCATCCACCACACACTCCCGCTCCTCTGAAGGCTCGCTAGCACAGCGGGACAAGTAGTCAGCGGTAGCATTCTGCTGGCCAGGGATGTGATGCACCTCAAACTTGTAGGGTTGCATAGCCAGGTACCAGCGGGTTATTCGACCATTTGTGTCTTTCATTCTCTCCAGCCATTTTAAAGCTTTATGGTCAGTTTCTAATACAAACTTCCTTCCCAGGAGCTAATAGCGTAGGGAATCCAGAGCCCACTTTATTGCCAGGCATTCCTTCTTTATAGTGGAATAACGGGTTTCTCTGGGGAAAAGTTTATGGCTGATGAAGACGATTGGATGGCGATCATTTGGAGAACCCTGAAGCAACACAGCACCCAGACCTTTATCTGATGCATCACTTTGCAAAAATAACTCCTGCTGGAAGTCAGGGCAATGAAGCACAGGATCCTCACTTAAGGCCTGCTGAATGTCACTGAATGCTTCTTTAGCTTCTTCAGACCACAGTAGTACATTCGGGCCCTGAAGACTGGTCATGTCTGTAAGCAGAGAAGCTCTGGCAGAGTAATTAGGGATAAATCTGTGGTACCAACCAGACATACCTAGGAAGGATGGCCTCAATTTTTTAAATTTGTGGCTTCACCAATCCTCCGATGACAAAGCCCAGGTACTCGGTTTCCCTTTTTGCTATGGCACACTTGGCTGGACTCACTGTCAATCCTGCTTTCTGGAGATACTCAAAGATCACTTTCAGATGTTGCAGGTGTTCATCCCAGCAATTGCCGTAAACAATGATGTCATCCAGATATGCAGAGGCAAAATGTGAATGACCATTGAGTACCTTGCCCATTAGGCGTTGGAATGTGGCAGGAGCCCCATGAAGCCCAAATGGCATCACTCTAAAGTGGTAAAGGCCCCGTCAGCTCCTTGGACCTGAGAGACAGCGGCACTTGCCAATAGCCTTTGGACAGGCCAGTGGTGGTGAAATACTTTGCTTTGCCTAGTTTCTCAATAAGATCATCGATGCGTGGAGTTTGCGCTATATCTTGTAACTTGACCTCTATAAATAAAGGCTGAATGAATGATATTCCGTGAAGTTTCCAGACAGGTCTCCCGAGGGAGAATAGATCTGGAAGTACTGATCTACTGCGTCGAGTCAGAACGAAGTTGTCTGACGTCATGTGAAAAGGGCCTATTTGGACATTTCGGAACCAAGGACCAACACAGACTCAAGGTAGATGTCATTAAAGTTCTGCCTGTCCCCCAAACAATCATGTTTATCTGATTTTGGCTCCCTGACTGGCCTTGACAGGCCATCTTATCCCAACCCGCCTGGAGGTTTTGTAAACCTGATGCTCTAACCCCTCCCTCCCCTTCTACTGAGGAATTTCCATGGACTTTTCAGAGTCCAGCTGAATAAACGTTCTGTCATCATTTCAGGACTCTAGATTTGTCTCTGGTCGTCCTTGGCACCCCCGAGTGAGCACGGATATCTCCAGAGGGAACTATTTGAACTCAGTGATTTTATCTGAACTCTGCAGTACCTCTGTGTGTTGTCTCTGCTGCTCACCGCCCTCAGCGTCATTATGTGCTTGTGTGCAAGTTTTTTTTTTCATTATCACACTGTTGACCTTCAAACAGAGGTTAAAAGCATGTTAGGAATTTTTTTGTCTCCAAACCCTATGTATTATTTTTCACCACTTGTTATTGTCTATCCAAACAGGTCTCACTTGTAAATGAGTCTTCGAGGCTCAATGTGGCTTATCTGTTTAAATAAAGGTTGAATGAAAAAACATATTTCTCACAGTACACTGACTCAATTTATAAGACGGCCCAACAACATCTTTACCCGCTGAGGAAACTAAAGACCTTTCACAGAAACAAAGAGCTGCACAACTTATAAAAACTCAAGGGCTTCAGAGGGAGCACAAAGGAGTATGTGGCAGGAATGCATTGCTGGTGAGTAGTGAGACAGACTGAATACTTTAAGTGGAGGTGATTGGAAAGTGGAGGCAGCTAGATTGATTACTCACTGGGGACAGGTAGGAGTGGAAGGCAAACTGAGTAATGCCTCTTTTCCATTAGTACCATTAGTACCGGTACAGTGCGGTTTGACTCGGCACGGTATGAGTTGTATTTCCATTATACTTTCAGTAATGGTTCTAGTGGGCGGGTTAAGCTCAGAGCCCGCAGGAGTGCACGAGGCTGGGGCCCGGACCACGGCCTCATGTGCTCCTGCGGGTCGGCAGCTCATATGTTCCTCTGCGGTGACCAGCGGAGCTCGGAGCCCACAGGAGCGCGTGAGGCCAAGACCAAACTGAGCCCCAGCCCTGTGTGCTCTTGCGGGCCGGCAGCACGGAGGATCTTCCGCGGTGACCAGAGCCAGGAAGATGAGTGAGGGGGCTCCGAGGCTCCGGCGGAGAGGACCGGGGAGACCGGTGGAGCTCCATCTAGCTCGCTCTGAATTTTATCGTCGGCCACCTAGCGCAAAAAACACCTGCACTTCGGCATTAGGCCACGGTGTTGTCATTATTGTTTTAAAAATCTTAAAAATAGGTCCAGTCACTCCTTGAGTTCGAGTTATTGCAAATGGCAGATGGGGTTGTTATGAAAGTTTCTCAAACAACCAGTGACTCCACCCTCTGACCAATCTTTGACCAACAGTGTTCTGACGTCATGTTTTGGTGCCAGTTCCGCCCGGTTGGAACCCCAGAGAAGAAGTGACTGAAAAAGGGTCCGGTTCTACGAATAATTGCTAGTGGAAAAGCCTTGGAACCGTGCCGAGTCAAGTCGAACCGTGCTGTACTGGTACTAATGGAAAAGGGTCATTAAACCGCTGAGGGGGGTGAATGAGAAATGATACAGGGAAACACGGGAGAAACAAAAGACTGATCAAAGTCAGGTCCTCTGGACAGATTCTTCTTTGTGGAAACATTTCATCTTTTATCCAAAAGACTTCTTCAGTCTGGTCTCTTGGATAAAAGCCGAAACATTTCATCAAAGAAGAATCTGTCCAGAGGACCTGACTCAACCTTAGATTTATCTACCTGTATTATTGAGCAGCATCAGGACAAAAAAAATGAGCAAAATCTGAACTTCGGGAAACTACTGTGACAGAGATAAACTGATAATCATATAATAATCATATAATATAATAATCATCATCAGCTCATGCTAAGCATTTCATTGTACTGTTAACCCTGTGTTAACCTTGCATATGACAAATAAACACAACTTGAACTGGATAAGAACCCAGAACACAGAAAGAGAATAAGTAACTGAAGTACACAAACCATGACAAGCAGGAGTCTGAATATTTTTCTTTTCAGACCAAAATCTAATCATTGCAGCATTTTAAAGAAAGAAAACGCTACAATGTTAAAAACAGTGTTTAATGCTTTATCAGTCACTTCGTTTTGCGAGGATATATGCTGCTGCCTTGTGTATGAACATTTGATTCACTGTAACTACAATAACACAGGCTGAACTCACTGTGGCTCAGTTTACATGATGAGCACCTGTCCTTGTTCCTCCACAGGGCTAAATAAAACAGCATCAACCTTTGGCTTTTTCTCACTCATGTGAGGCATTATTAGATTACATGAGTCCATGATCATGAACTTGTAGAGGAATTGTGTAGTCAGTTTACAGCTGGTGTAAGATGTGCATGGAGAATCAACACAATCATTACAGCTTTTTGCAATAAAGATGTAAAACATAAAGCTGGTTTCAAACTTCACTGAAGCTGCAGAACAACCGAATGCATCTCAGCTTCATGTTCTGACTTCCCAACATGATCTTCCAAACTTCATTCACCAGCTCTGGTCAACATAAATGCTGTGCACAAACTCAAACTCTAAATGCACTCGGAAGCATCCAGCGACAGGTGCTGCAGGAAGGTTTTAACATACCAAAATATACGAGCCCATAAAGGGGGTTTATTACCTCCTTTGCAGTTTGAATATTGTTGTGAAGCTCAGGACGGCTGTAAATGTCACTGATGGTTGCAGCAGAATCGACACGACTCTATTTTAGTGAGCCATTCCATTTAGTGGAGACACTATAAATTTTGCCGATGTTTTTCCATCGTCTTCCAGAAAGCCCAAGGAGCTCCACTACTGTCTTCAGCTTCAAGTTGTTTCTTTAGGAACGTTGAATAGGTACGTCTGATTCTTCTCAATGTTTGGTGTTTTGGGTAAATGGGTGTGAATAAGTAGATTTTTTTTAACTAAAATGTATTTATTATCTCTAAGTTGCAGTATTCTCCTGCTGTCGTGCCATTTTATTAGGAGGTGTTGTTCTTGAACATTAACAGCTGCTCATCCTGCATGCCTTATGGATTATCTAGTCATTCACCTTTTTAGTCACCTATGTGAAACTCTCATCAGGTATTTGAACACGCCGCACTGCCGCAGCACCTCCAAGCACAAACACTTTCCTAAACATTTAAGGGATTTATAATCATATATTGGTTAGAATTTAAAAAAAAAAAACTTTTAAAGTGTTAGGGTAACCATAACCGACGACCTTCCGATCACAGGCCCACCTTTAACCTCTGCGCCACCACTCTCCTAAAGGGATAAAATGATCTTTAAAACTCAAAATAGCAGTGAAAGAATTGTTTTTTCTCTTTAACCATGTAACCAAGGTTATCCTTATTATTATTATTATTATTATTACTGTCCTAAGCAAAACTAATTTTAAGTCTTCAATCCAAAATATGGATTATAATATAAAATATGGATTATAATATTAAAATATGGATTATAATATTGGGCAGCACGGTGGCGCAACTGGTAGAGCTGCTGCCTCTCAGCGAGAAGGTCCTTGGTTCAAACCCCGGTCCAGGGGCCTTTCTGGGTGGAGTTTGCATGTTCTCTCCGTGCATGCGTGGGTTTTCTCCGGGTGCTCCTGTTTCCTCCCACAGACCAAAAACATGCATGTTAGGCTGATTGGTAACTCTGAATTGTCCCTAGGTGTGAGTGAGAGAGTGAATGGTTGTTTGTCTCGTTTGTCTCTATGTGTCCCTGGGATGGACTGGAGACCCGTCCAGGGTCTCCCCCGCCCCTCGCACAGTGATTGCTGGACATGGGCACCGGCGACCCCCGTGACCCAAAAATGGAATAAGCGGGTAAAGATAATGGATGGATGGATGGATTATAATATTAAAATAATCATGAAACATCCTGTTCTTTCTCTAAATTCAGTTTAGGAACTTTAAGACCATCATGGCTGATGGGTAAGTACAACATTGATTTATTTGTTTGCTTATTAAATAAAACTCAAAATTGACCATAAACTATTATATTAAATTGTTCACTGTTTTTTATCCCTCCAATTAAACATCCATCAGACCTGTGAGTATTTACATCATTACCACCAGCACAACATTTTATGTTGGTCTTTTTAAAAAGTTTTATGAAAAGTGCTTCATCGCAGTTCTTATTATAAATGTTTCTTTATCCAAATCACAGAGAAAGTCTAAGATGTCCTCGTCTCGAAGGCTGGGTTTAAAGGTATGATTTTCCTAATTGTTTTAATTAAAACTTAAATGACTGACAATTTAATAATTATATTGATTTTGATTTGTGAGCGTATCTCTTGTTTGTAATAAACAGTTCTTATTTGAACTTGTGCAACAGTTTTTAATTTTTATTTTATTTCATTTAGACGTTGTGTGTTCAACCTGCTGCAACATTTGAATATTAAGTCACTTAAATTTGAAATTTCCTCTTTTAGATCCGACTGTTGGCAGCTGCAACTCAGATGCTGCAGGAGGAGAAAACCCAGAGGCTGAAGGAGAGAGAAGCTACGCTGGAAGAAAGACTTCCTCCTCTGAACCTGTCCGGGTTCTCTTTGCAACAACTGCAGGTAACACAAAAGGATGCTTTGACTTTCCTTTTCAATGGATCCAGTTTTACAACAACACAAGAGTCTGTCTTACCTTCATCCAGGACCTCTGCAAAGACCTGCACCACAGGATTGATGTTGTGGACGAGGAGCGCTATGACATCGATCTCAAAGTTTCTAAAAATGAGAAGGAGGTAATCTGCTTAGTGATATATACTGTGAGAGAAAAAAGACTTTAGTGGAAACTTTTTTCTAGTTACTGTATTCAGTGAAGGCGGCACGGTGGATCAGTTAGAGCTGTTGCTTCTCAATGAGAAGGTCACCGGTTGAAATCCTGGCTGGGGGCCTTTCAGGGTGGAGGTTGCATGTTCTCTCCGTGCATACGTGGGTTTTCTTCAGGTACTCCAGTTTCCTCCCAGACCAAAAACATGCATGTTCGACTGATTGGTAACTCTAAATTGTCTCTAGGTGTGAGTGAGAGAGTGAATGGTTGTTTGTCTCGTTTGTCTCGATGTGTCCCTGTGATGGACTGGAGACCTGTCCAGGGTGTCTCCTGCCTCTCACACAGTGACTGCTGGACATGGACACCAGTGACCCCCATGACCTGAAAAGGAAGTAGTCATTAAAAATCATGGATGGATGTATTCAGTGTCTTCATAGCAAAATAAAATCAGATAATGATAATTATAAACACTACCCTCGTGTGGCTAAATTATTTAACAGTCCATAATAATAATATCTCAAGTGATTTAAGTCTACAAATGAATGGACCTATTGGAGGCGATCCAATAAATTATTTTAAAAAAAAAATACAACTACTAATAAATTGTATTTAGTCCTGTTTGGCTACTCACTGGAAACTCTACTCAGAAAGAAAGATAGTTTTATTTTAACCTGTATTTCTACAGGAAGTCTCATTGAGTAACAAGGACTCATTTTCAAGAGAGACCTGTTTTGGGAGCAGATGGTGGGGTTTAAGGGCCTTGCTCAAGGGTCCAGGTATTTTATCTTTCTCACTCACATTTTGATGATGTCAATCCTGGGGATTGAACCGGCGACCTTCCAATCACAAGTCCACCTTTAACCTCTGTGCCACTACTCTCCTACATGGAAAAAAATATATACTAAATGATCAACTTGAATGATTTTTGGGACTCTCAGTTCAAGTTTCTTCTGAGCTAAGCTCAAGCCAACTAAACAAAATGTAAAAGTTTGGGTTTCTAACTCAACAATGTGCTCGAACTTAAGATGACCATGTGTGAAGTTTAGGGGAGCTGCAGATTATGATGAAAATGACCTTCAAACAACCCTGTTCACCTTGTCACTTTGTCTTCAAATGTACTCTCACACTTTGTTTGGGCGTAACTACAAAAAAAGAAATGAAATCCAATTCATAAGTGTTTAATACAAAGTCCTCATAAACACTGAGTAAAATGAAAAGTAACAAACATACCTTAACTCGGGTTCAGAAAAAAAAATCTTTTGGTGTCGGCCATTACAAGCTTAAATCAAAATACAGCTCTTTGCTAAATAATGAATGTTTGGAGAGAAATAACAGATGTATAATATACTGAGTGAAAATCTACCAGACTGTGATGTTCATGTTTTACTGAAGGATTTGACCTGTAAAAAAACTACATCAAAGTTGGCTCCTGCCCAAAATGCTTCATTTCAAGGTCTAATGTAATTATTATACATCCTGAGCTTTCAGCAACACCATTTTCCATCTCCATTTAACGCTCCACTAGAACACATTTACTGATAAACTGCTATTTCAATAAATGTATATAAAGGTTGACAAGAAGAGAAGTTGGGAATTGATTACTGTATACAACAATTTTCTACAGGATCAATAAAGTTATATCTTATCTTATCGTAGTTTCCTTTTACATGTATGTCTTGAAGCTACAGCTGAAGAGCAGAGTGATAACATGTGATCCTTTGGCCAGATTGAAGACTTGAAACTGAAGATTACTGAGATTCAGAGTAAGTTCAAGAAGCCACACCTGAAGAGAGTGAGGATCTCAGCTGAAGCCATGCTGAGTGTTCTGCTGGGATCCAGACACAAGGAGTCCATCGACTTCAAGGCCAACCTCAAAACAGTCAAGAAGGAAGAAGAAAAGGTAACGGCATGCATCTGCTCTTATCCAAACCTTAACAACAAAAAAAATGAAATCACCACAAATGGAGGATTTTAATTTTTCAATTGTTTATTTTGTAATTAAAAAAAAAATCTAACATTCCAGAAAACTGACCGTTTTCAAAACTATTTCACCATCTGGCAGAATGAGTGATAAAAGAAAAATGTTTGTTTTTTCCAGTCACGTTATTTTTTTTTATATCAAGTAGAGGAAACAATCTGGGGGTTCACTCCGTAATTTGCACACGCATCAGAAAATACCTGCTGATTAGTCTTCAGTTAAAGAATGCTCACAGTTTGGAGAGCTGTCGTACAAAGCAGACTGACGTGAATCATGGCTCCAAAATGAGAGACATCTGCTGAAACAAAAGAGATGATTACGAAACTTTTTCAAGAAGGTAAATCATCATGAAGTGCTGAAAAATCTGTTGTTTGTTTCCAGTCAGCTGTGTCTAAAATCTGGACCAAGTACAAATAAAATGGGAATGTTGAAAAAGGGGAGCATACCGGTCGACCATGGAAGACCTCGAAGCGTCGAGATAGAAAACTTCAACCATATGGAGTCATCCTGGAGTCAGTGTTTGTGATCGATTTGTAAGAAATTGCCTTGGAGACTGTGTTGGTCCAAGCCTCCATGAGGCCCTAAGCGAAATTTGGTTTGGGGGGCCTCTATTTCTTCTAATAATGTGGATTACTGCAATCAACAGTCCCATGATCAGATCATTCATCCATCCATCCATCCATTATTTTCCACTTATTCCGAAGTTGGATCGTGGGGGCAGCAGCTTGATCAGGGAGGCCCAGACATCTCTTTCCACAACCACCTCTTCCAGCTCTTCTGGGAGGATTCCAAGGCGTTCCCAGGCCAACCGAGAGACATAGTCTCTCCAGCGTGTCCTGGGTCTTCCCCGGGATCTCCTCCCAGTCGGACATGACTGAAGCACCTCTCTAGGGAGGGGCCCAGGGGGCATCCTTACCAGATGCCCGAACCACCTCAACTGGCTCCTCTCGACATGGAGGAGCAGCGGTTCTACTCTCAGTCCCTCCTGATAACTGAACTTCTCACCCTATCTCTAAAGGAGAGTCCAGCTACCATGCGAATAAAACTCATTTCAACTGCCTGTATCCGCAAGCTCATTCTTTCGGTCGCTACCCAGAGCTCATGACCATAGGTGAGGGTAGGAACGTAGACCGACCTGTAAAAAGAGAGTTTTACCTTAGAGCTCAGCTCTCTATTTACCACAACGGACCGGTACAGAGTCCGCAATACTGCAGATGCTGCACCAATCCATCTGTCAATCTCATGATCCATTCTTCCCTCACTCATGAACAAAACCCCAAGATACTTGAACTCCTCCACTTGAGGCAGAACCTCACCCTCGACCTGAAGAGAGCAATCAACCCTTTTCCGGTCGAGGACCATGGTCTCAGATTTGGAGGTGTTGATTCTCATCCCAGCCGCTTCACACTCAGCTGTGAACCACTCCAGTGAGCGCTGAAAATCATGGCACGATGACGCCAACAGGACCACATCATCTGCAAAGAGCAGAGATGGAATCCTGAACACCGAACTGGAAACCCTCCGCCAGCTGGCTGCACCGAGAAATTCTGTCCATAAAAGTTATGAACAGAATCGGTGACAAGGGGCAGCCCTGGCAGAGTCCAGCTCCCACTCTGAAGGGGTCCAACTTACTACCGGCAATGCAAACCAAACTCACGCACCGTTTGTATAGGGACTGAACAGCCCGTTACAACGGGCTTCCAATCCCATACTCACGGAGCACCCCTCACAGTGTATCCCAAGGGACACGGTTGAATGCCTTCTCCAAGTCTACAAAACACATGTAGACTGGATAGGCAAACTCCCATGACCCCTCAAGGACCCTAGTGAGGGTAAAGAGCTGAGCCAGTGTTCCGCGGCCAGGACAGAACCTGCATTGTTCCTCCTGGATCTGAGGTTCCACCAACAATCAGACTCGCTTCTCCAGTACCCCTGAATAGACCTTACCAGGGAGGTTAAGGAGAGTGATGCCCCTATAATTGGAGCACACCCTCCGGTCCCCATTTTTGAAGAGGGGAACCACCACTACGTCTGTGTGTCTGCCAATCCAATTGCACTGCCCCCGATGTCCACGCGACGTTGCAAAGGCATGTCAGCCAAGACAGCCCCACAACATCCAGAGCCTTAATGAAATCAGGGTGAATCTCATCCACTCCTGGAGCCCTGCCACCTCTGAGCTTTTTAACTACCTTGGCAACCTCAGCCACAATTATGGACGGATCAACCCCAAAGTTCCTCAAGTTAGCTTCCTCCATGGAAGACGTGCTGGTGGGATTGAGAAGGTCCGAAAAGTATTCCTTCCACCTCCCGACGACATCACTGGTTGATGTCAACAGCATCCCACTTTCACTGAACACAGTGTTAGTAAAGTGCTGCTTTCCCCTCCTCAGTCGACTGATGGTTTGCCAGAATCTCTTCGGAGTCGAGCGAGAGTCTCTATCCAAGGTCTCACTGAACTTCTCCCACATCTGAGCTTTTGCCTCAGCAACAGCCAAGGCTGCAGACCGCTTGGCCCTCTGGTACTCCTCAGCTGCCTCCAGAGTCCCACTGGCCAACAAGGCCCAATAGGACTCCTTCTTCAGCTTGACAGCCTCCCTAACACGGGGTGTCCACCACCAAGTTTGTGGATGGCCACCGCGAGTAGCACCGACAACCTTGCGGTCACAGCTCAAGGCGGCTACCTCAACAAGAGAGGCGCAGAACATGGCGCTCGGACTCAATGTCCCCCACCTCAGCTGGGATGCAGTTAAAGCTCTCCTGCAGGTGTGAGTTGAAGATCTCTCTGACAGGTTCTTCTGCCAGGCATTCCCAGCAAACCCTCACTACACGGTTGGGTCTACCGGGTCTGTCCGGCATCTTCCCCACCATCTGATCCAACTCACTACCAGGTGGTGATCAGTTGACAGCTCAGCTCCTCTCATATGTAACAAACATAATTTTTCATGTTGAAAAAGCTCTTGATTTTGAGCTCTACCAACTAACCCCATGAATCATTTCTTAGACTGTAGCATAAATTCAGTCTGACAGTCCTGTTTACATTATCCTATATGAATATATCATCTAGTGTTACTAAAAGTAACAAAAAACAACAACAAAAAACACCAGTATGCAATGTATTTTACAGCAAAAGTGGCATCTGGTTTATTATCTTTGGTTCCAAAGAAGTGCAACAGTAATGTTCAAAATAAGTTGTAGTGCAAGATCAACAACAAACAGATAAAATAACTTAGATGCTTAAAACATGGTGCAAAAACAGACAAAATAAAATAAAATAAAAAATAAAATATCAAGGAAATACTTAAATAATCTAAATGAACAATTACTAACCACATAAAATGGTTTAATTTTTTTTTTTTAAGTTGAGTAATTAGTTCAATGGACTGTACTTATATAGCACTTTTCTATTTTATTTCAAGATACTCAAAGCTCTTTACACAACTATCTGTGCCTCATTTACCAATTCATACAGCACTCTACTAGATCTGTACAAAGACTAATCAGAGCTTTATCACATTCATACACTGATGGGACACACATCAGAGGCTATGAGGGTTCAGCGTCTTGCCCAGGGACACTTCAGCATGTGAGTGCTGGTGGGTTCGAACCCCCAACTCTCGCATTGGAGGACGACTGCTCTAACCACTCAGCCACAGCTGCCTCAGTTCTTAAAACTATGTAAATATCTGCAACAATTTGCAAAACCTGAACTTAAAATATTCAATAGAATCATATAGAAATCATTACTTAAAAAAAATAAAAAAATCCACTTAGGGCGCCCCCTAGTGGCCCCGGAGCCCAAAGCAGCCACTTAGTTTGCTTATGCCTTGGGCCGGCCCTGCAGTCGGATACAGAAAGGTCAAACAAAGGTCATCAGTAACATTCAAATAGAAAAGAACAAGCTAAGAGTAACTAAACAATCTTGGATTGTGGGTGTCTGAATGAAAGTGTCATTCGGGAGAGGTGGTCAATTCAATGAATTACTCAGTCTAAATTGTGGTTTTAGCCACTTTTCTTCTTCTGTCAGTTGAAAGGATGTTTGATGATGATGACCATTTTTCTAGGTTATAATGCATCTTGTCAACAGGCAAAAAATATGAGAAAATGTCTCTTTAAGAAATCGTCCATCGTTAAACAGGGGTGAAGGCCTACGTGTTCAACTGTCCCCCTCTTACAATGCTGTGATTGCTAGTATCACTCAACCCTCTGTGAACAGTAAACAGCCATCAGTGTGCTAATGATCCATTGTTAGGCTGATGGTCCTTCTTGAGCATGTGATCAGCTGGTTTTGGTTGTCAGCAGCAAAACTGGTTGATCCACTCTGAGAAGGTGCTATTTAAGAGACTGAGCTGAATACAGCACCTCAGACTGAGGAAGTCTCTTGGATGAGAGAAGAAACGTTTCTACATTTTTTTGTTTTGCTTTGTTTTGTTTTGTTTTTTGAATGTCCTGAGGACCAGATTTAACTTTTTTAGATTTTTCTACCTGGATTATTGAGCATGCATCAGGATATCTCTTTAAGAAAGATTTACCATGTCACTGTCATCAGCCTGCAAAGAGTCCAGCTGAAAATCTTTGGTTGAAATGGCAGAACATGGTCCATCACAAGACTCCAACCTTCAAAGCTGATCTGGGAAGAGCAACAAGAGACAGTTGGAACCAGAGTAATAGAGACTGTTTGTCATTAGTTAGATCCATGCCTCAGAGGATTCAAATGGTTTTAAAAGCCAGAGGTGGTGAATCAAAGTATACTGACGGTGCTGTGTTTCTCTCATGGTTCCATATTGCTTTCCTCTGATGGAAAAGAACAACAGTAACATTCGTTTATTTTTGTTGTTTCTTCGTCCCAGAAGGTTGGATTTTTAATAAAATATTTATTTTTTTGGAATGTTTTTCACATTTTACAATTTAAACAATTGAAAGATCATCCTTGTAGAGTGGTGGTTCAATAATTTTCACCAGAGGTTGTAAAACGCCCTGTGTCATCTTATATTAGTCAAATATTGACTTTGGTTCGGCCTGCTTCGGTTGTGTCTCTGACAGAAAGAGGAGGTAACCGACTGGCGTAAAAACGTGGAGGCCATGTCTGGCATGGAGGGCAGGAAGAAGCTGTTTGACGCCTCTGGCAACTAAAAGAAAACTTCCTTTTATCCAGTTTTTGGCATTACAGTACAGTACTTAGTACTGTGATGAGTACTCCCTTGTCTTAATTGCATTAAATTATGAACTTTGAGTAAAAAATAATTTTGAATCAGAATAGACGTGATGTCTTAACCATTTTCCATTTAAACAAAAATAAATAACATGACATTTTGTACACATTAACATGTGCAAAACCAACAACAACAAAATATACAACAACTATTGCGTGTTCTCTTTCATTTTGTTATTGCGTATTCTGTTGTGACAAACTTTTCCTCAATGACTATTAAAGATGGTTCAAAAGTGAAAAAAGATGATTGCCGTTTGGTAATATTTCTGCTGAAATGTTTTGTACTTGTATTTGATTTATGAAGTCCCCTCATTTAACATTTAAAACAACATTTTATTGTTGACTTGCTTTATTTTTTCCCTCCAGCGTAATATAAAAATAACCTTGGACTCTAAGTGATAAAAGTTTAATTCAATAAACTAAAGGTCATTCACACCTCACCTTCTTCTTGGTATGGAGTGTCATTGCATATGAACAGTAACAATGTGTTTTAAGAGATTACAAATCTAAAACAAGATGGAAATTAAATAAACACTAAAAATAGTGAGACCAAATGGTTCAAAGAGCTACTGACAGGAGCACTGAATTTGATAAATCTCCTTTTTATCACATATTCTTTCAGGAAAATATGTGTGAGTATTTAGCACCTAGGTAAGTATTTAAAAAGGAAATATTAAGCCTGGTTTCCACATATTTCATATTAGTTTCCATTCCATTTCTAATCTAAGAAATGTGTCTTGTTTTGTCTTTTGATGTCTATATCCAAAGTGAACACATCTGTTGCTGATGTTGTTTATGGATTCATGCTAAAAATTCTAGACAGGTCTATCAATTATTGTCAGCACTTAAACCCTACAAGCTAAGAAACTTTATTTACATCATGATCCAACACACAAAACCTGCATAAACTCTACAGCCAACAGTCTTAGATTTATTTTCATTCCTTTAGCTCCACACCATTGAGCTCTTTTCAAGCTTCATTAATTCACCCATCACTTTTGGTATTTTGATCAACAGAACTAATCAAGACTTCAAGGATAAAGTACAGTACATCAAATAATTTTAAACATAGCAAGAAAAAAAACAAAAAAATCCTGAAAACTGCAGTCTTTTAGTTATCGTTTTAGAAGTTACGGTTTAATTATTTTACTGTTCGCAGTTATTCTTCATTAGTAATGCCACTATAACATTTTTAAAGTGTTCATGTTCTATAATAAATGTGAGTCGTGTATTGGCAACTTTACAGAAGAACAGAAATACATAAATATAGTCCAAACTATAAAGTGTAAACTAAATGCAACAACTAAAGTTGACACGGTAGCTCAGTTCATAGATCGGTTGCCTCTCAGCCAGAAGGTTGAAAGATCGAATTCTGGCTTTTAGAAGCATTTAATGTTAGCTGTGGTGGTCATCTTGAATTTTTGATTAGCATTCAAAACTTGGTAAAGACTGTTTTCAACTACCACTATACCAATTTTTAGCTTTGTATGTTTAAAAATTGCTAAAATATAGCTCTTTATAAAATAAGCATTAGAGGCTAGCTTGAAATTGTGAATAACATTCAGAATGTTTAGAAAATTTCAGCTCACTATTATTTCAAACGGCTGAATTAAAGCAATTTGAAGTTAGCTGTGATAGCCATTTTGATTTTTGATTAGCATTCAGAATTTGGTAAAGACTTTTTTGGCTACAACTATACCAATTTTTTATCTTTGCCTAAAAATTGCTGAATTATAAGCCTTTGTAAAATTAGCATGAACCGTTAGCTTGAAATCATGATTATCTTTCAGAATGTCATAACGATTGCTTTTGGCTACCACCAAACCAAATTTGAGCTCAAATATGTCTAAAAATGGCTGAGATGACACCGTAAACAGTTATAAAATATTTTACTAACAGACATTTTCATCAATTTGTCTTTGCTTTGTGAAGCTAAACGTGGAACTGAAGGCTCCTATAGGATTTATACTGAGGATCCTAAGGCTCTCATTGATCTGTCGCTCAGTTTGTGCTTGTTTACAGCTTCAGTGCACTGAAGGCCTTCAGGAAGGCCTTCAGTGCACTGTAGAATAGGCAGGCCCCAATAATAAAGAACAAGAAACAGTAATGTACAGTTACACATGTTTAACCACACAATAAAGGCTCTATGTGCATCTTGTGATTTTTTAAATGTTTTTTTAAGACAACAATAATATAATTGTGTTATAATGTGAATGTATCATCATAAGATATGAAATATAGTACAAGATTGATGAACTCACACCAACTGATTACCGTCACTCCACCTCCACGTCTTTTCTAACATCAGTCAAGTATCAATTTTTCATTTTTGGTCTTGGAAAGATACAAAAACTGGGAAAAAAATGGAAATACTATTTGTGTAACTCCAGACTAGACAGTTATAAATATGACAATCAAACAAAATGCTGCTGAAGATGGACGAGGGATTTTGGGGGCAGATAATGTCCTGCATCTGTGCAAATCTGACCAAAATGGTGTTTCTATCAAGAGATAGTTTGAATAAATATACATTTTCTACCTAATAATCAAAATTTGACACATATTTTTTGTATATTTTTTGTAAAGACATTTTGTAACATTGTGAATATTTATGTTAAATTAAATCTCTAGTGTTTCACTCAAAGATCTCCTGTGTGCTTGAATTTGCTAAAAAAAAAAAAAATATATATATATATATATATATATATATATATATATATATTTGTTGCCATAATGTTAGAGTGTGTGACAGACACACACACACACAAATACACACAAACCGACATAGACAGACACAGAGAGAGACAGACAAAGAGAGCCACATACTGTATGGGTCATAAAAAATTGTCAAAAGTTGTGTTATTTAGGTAATAGGATGGAGAAACTGAGTAATTTTCTTTATTTGTATATGCCCCCTGTAAAAAAAAAAAAAACAAAAAAAACATTGGCCACCCCTGTGCCACCTCTTGCAAAAAATTCTAGCTCTGCCCCTGTATTTTTCCCCAAATCACTTTCGCACACATTCACAGCAAAACTGTGGCCTGATCTATTGTACTTTTTTTGTTTTTGAGTATTCATAGAATTTCAGATATGCATTTTTCATGTTTGTGAATATAATTACTTAAAACCTGAACAGTAATATAATTTGCAAAGAAAAATGTTTGTCAAAAAAATCCACAGACTCAAAAATGCAAATACTTTCACAACTTTGATATAAAAAAGTCCTTAAGCACCAATCTTTATTACCAAACCTACTTTATTGCATGTATTCAATAGCATTAAGTGCTATATGATTGGTTAATTATGATGAACATGTTTTGACTTCATTAAAATTTAGTAAATTCACTGAAAATAAAGTTACATCATAACTGACTGATACACAGCTACTTGGTTGGGTTAGCTTCATTTTAGACACTAGGACACAGACCACCGTTCTCCAGTCTTACCCCCACGCACCAGGTGGACATACATGATGTATCTTCCATTTATCTGGGCAGAAAGTTCTGTAAAAACGCTGTACAGTACTGTACACGTTATAACGCCTCTTCAACGCGAGAACTACAAAGACCAGGCTACTCACTCTTCCGTCGTGCGCGAGCCCAACCCAACACCGGCCGTTGCTGCACATCCTAATATGGGCATAACACACCAACAGTAACGCCTACGTGTAAAATACTGATTTTCTATTGGTCAACTCATACGTCAGTCATGCACGTTCCGCGAGGATGTTGCTGTGGCCTACAGAGCTCTGTCAACGAGCGGCAACACCCACATTTATACCGGATTTTAAACACCCACCGGGTAAGACGAATAATTTAATTTTGTTTTGTTTTTTTCTATCCTAATTATTTTCCGGTTGAGTTCAACATGTGCCCGTAGTTCTGGCTTTGTGACACCGGCCCCTCTGTTAGTTTCGGCTCATGAACGCATCATAAAGCCGGTCAGTCCCCCATCGTTTAGCCATCATCCAGCAGAATAGCTTATGTGATGATGGCTGTTTGTGGATGTTCTGTTTATTGTCTTAGCGTGAGACAGAGACCAGTAATATTGAGTTCAGAAGTAAGGTCGGGTCTAGCAGCCGGTGTGCTCCAACCTCCTCCAGCAGGTCTTTTTTAAGACCACCTCTGACCTTTATCTAGCTCTGCTTCATTGAAACCCTGTTACTCCAGAGCCCACTTCAGACTTGTGTTAAAAACCTGCACTGTTCTCAATAAGCACATCATGTTTATGCTCATTTCTGCTGTATGTGTGTAGGTTTTTAGCTGCGAGTGCTTCGGATGTCCAAATACAAACTCTTTCTTCTGAGGCATGGCGAGGGGGCCTGGAACAAGGAAAACCGGTTCTGCAGCTGGGTGGACCAAAAGCTGAGCCCAGATGGGGTGAAGGAGGCCCAGGACTGCGGCCGGCTCCTGAAGGAGCAGGGATACAGGTTTGACATTGTGTTCACCTCCATACTCAGCCGCTCTATCCAGACAGCGTGGCTGGTGCTGGAGGCTATGGGTCAGGAGTGGGTCCCTGTTGTCAAGTCTTGGAGACTTAATGAACGCCACTACGGAGCCCTGATTGGACTCAACCGGGCAGAGATGGCTCTACAACACGGGGAGGAAAAGGTGAAGCTGTGGAGAAGGAGCTTTGACATCACTCCACCCCCGATTGATGAATCCCACCCGTACTATCAGGAAATCTACAACGACCGCAGGTATACCACTTGTGACGTGCCGAAGGAGAACCTTCCCCGAGCAGAGAGTCTGAAGGAGGTTCTGGAAAGGCTGCTGCCTTACTGGAACAGCATCGTGGTCCCAGAGATACAGAAAGGGAAGACCGTGCTCATTTCTGCTCATGGGAACAGCTGCAGGGCCCTGCTGAAACATCTGGAAGGTATGCAACTCTGAGCTCAGCTGGTACGATCAGAGCTCTTTCAGCTTTTCTCGTGTACAGAGGGAAATTCATTCAGCTGAAATCAGCAGCTGCTGCTCTACTTAACAGGTTGTGTTTTCTAGTAATCAGTGAATGAGGAAGGACTTGCAGTGTTTCACTTCTACAAATGGACAGTTGAACTTGTGCAAAAAGGCCAGTGAGTTAAAGTTACATTTGGCTGTGGCCATGAAATCCATGCTGGCCCTTCATCACACACGCCTTGAGATTTCAAACCCTTAATTCTGACGTAGCATTAGCAGCAAAAAGTACAATCTGACTGCTTAGGGTGCCAATATTATATCTGCTGTGTTTCAATATATTTTTTATTTTGTGTGTAAATTTGCTGTTCAAAGTATGCATGAAGTTTTATTTAAAAATTCTTTCAGTTTTTAAAACTAATTTAGGGCTAAGGTTTATAAAATAAAAATCTTTGTATCCTATGTTCTGAACATATTTTATGAAGTAAACCTAAAACTAATGAGCCCGTTTTTTTAGGGAACTCAAACGTAACAAGTCTCTCTCCCCAGTTTCTAGGCTCAATGTGACTTATCTGTTTAATTAAAGGTTGAATGAAAGTTACTGTAACACATTCAACTTAAGGAGGAGGAGAGTAATAAATCCATTTTCATGAAGAGATCACCATTTGTATTTCTGATCTTTAAAGAAAGAGTTGGAAACAATCAATGTTACCTCTTGTAGGTAGCTCTTTGAACAACCTCAGTTTGATAAAAATAGAGTTTAATTCTGACTAAACTAACAAAATAAAGACTTGTCTGATCAGGGCCTGTGTGGATTGTGGCCATCCTAAAACAGCTACAATATTTGTTTCAAACAAAACATTGTTAATAATATTATATAAAATACAACACACACACACACACACACACATATATATATATATATATACTTAGGCTAGATCTATCT